TTTTGCAGTACATGCTGTTTCCTTAATCTCAATGTAAAGGATTATTTTATTCATTTGCATTCTGATTACGGAATCCAGAATCATGCTTACTGTCTGCATCTGGAATAAAGGGGCTGACGTTGCTATCAAGCTTGTGCAACTATCTATGGAAGCACGCAACGTGGAGTTCTCAGTAAGTTCTTGAATATCAGTATCATCTTCTCACAAAACTTCTCTTTTATGTGGTATGACTGTAAAGCTGTTGCAGTACTTCAAGCTGGTTTTTATGAATACTGAAACACTTTATTTTTTTCAGCTGGACTGTGAGACTAAAGATAAGTAGCAGGGGAATGCCAGGTGGAAACCTTCTCCAGAAGCTTGCAAACGAGATGGAGTTCTGTCTCCATCTTCTCTTTTCTTTATCATTTTGCTGTTTGAGAAAGTTCCTGGGATGAAATTAAGGTGACATCTGCTGTTGGTCCCTTCAGAAGTGAGGGTGAGCCACTCAACACCCTCGTGTGACACCGCTTTCACTGGCAATTGTGTCCGTGGTGCATTTTCAGAAGGGGTGTTGGGGGAACACCAGTCTGAAGACTGCTGGGTTAGCTCCCTGATAGCTACTTGATAGAAGCATCACCGTACCCAAACTGGCTGTCTGGGAGCGTTGAAATTCAGTGTCTGAAATAGAATAACCTCGTCCTCTTAACAATGAGTAAAGGGTGTGCCAGATGAGAGTACTGCCATTGTATTGGGTTTGTGTGGCAAGGTTTTGGTAGCAGGGGGCTACAGGGGTGGCTTCTGTGAGAAGCTGCCAGAAGCTTCCCCCATGTCCAGTAGAGCCAACGCCACCTCCAAGGTGGACCCGCCGCTGGCCAAGGCCAAGCCCATCAGCGATGGTGGCAGTGCCTCTGGGATAACATATTTAAGAAGGGAAAAATCCCTGCTGGGGAACAGTAGCCAGAGAGAAGTGAGAGGATGTGAGAGGAGCAGCCCTGCAGCCCCCCAGGCCAGTGCAGGAGGAGCTCCAGGTGCTGGAGCAGAGATTCCCCCCAGCCCCTGGTGCAGCCCATGGTGGGGCAGGCTGTGCCCCTGCAGCCCGGGGAGGCCCACGGGGGAGCAGATCCCCACCTGCAGCCCGGGGAGGACCCCACGCCGGAGCAGGGGTATGTGCCTGAAGGAGGCTGTGATCCCATGGGAAGCCTGGGCTGGAGCAGGCTCCTGGCAGGGTCCTTGGCCCCATGGGGAGAGGAGCCCAGGCTGGAGCAGGTTTGCTGGCCGGGCTGGTGACCCTGTGGGGACCCACGCTGGAGCCGTCTGCTCCTGAGGGACTGCACCCCGTGGGAAGGAGGGACCCACACTGGAACTGTGTGTGAAGAACTGCAGACCATGGGAAGGACCCAGGCTGGGGCAGGGGAGGAGTGTGAGGAGTCCTGCTCTGAGGAGGAAGGAACAGCAGAGACAGCATGTGATGAACTGACCCCAACCCCCATTCCATGTCTCCCTGTGCCGCTAGGGGGGAGGAGGTGGAGAAAATTGGGAGTGAAGTTGAGCCTGAGAAGAAGGGGGTGGTAGTGGGAAGGTGTTTTAAGATTCAGGTTTTTTTATTCTCCCCTGCTCTGATTTGACTGGTAATAAATTAAACTAGTTTCCCCAAGTTGAATCTGTGTTGCCCATGACAGTAACTGGCGACTGATCTCACCCTGCCCTTTTCTCAACCCATGAGCCTTTCGTTATATTTTCTCTTTCCTGTCCAGCTGAGGAGGGGAGTGATAGAGTGGCTTGGTGGGCACCTGTGTCCAGCCAGGGTCAACCCACCACACGTAGTATTTTAGATGGTTGGTTTGATATGCACAAATAACGTGGCCCTTGAAAATGCAGGTCCTGGCTGCTTGCTCCTGCTGTCTTGCAATGGCACAAGTTCAGTTTTCATCTGGCTCAATTCCCTGATCTGTCTTACTGTAAAAACAATTTTCTCAACATTAAGGAGAGAATAGGGAGCAAGCAGCTAGGGGCACAGGGGGAGTTCAGACCTTTTTCTGGTGGCTGAATGCGTGCTTGTAGCATAGTTGTGTTAAAACTTCAGCTGAGATCAGATTTATGTTAGAATACATGGGTGTAAACTCCATAACTGTATAGTAAGAATTAGGGAAGGTAAAGCCAAAACACTGAGTTGTATCCCTTCTGAAATCAAAGCCCAAAGCATTAAATGTTGTATATTGAACTACTGTTTAAAAGTCAGCAATGCATTTTTCAACTGTTTTTAAAAATCTCTCTTATGATCCCAGATGTCTGCTACTTCATACCTTCTGTTAGGGCCTTCACCTGCCACTCCTCGAGTCTGGAGCTGGTACGACTGTACAGTAGCACAGATTGCAGTCAGGTGTTCTTTCATCTTTAAAACTTAATCTCCCTGTTACGGTGGAAGAGTCCCGCAGAAGGTGACCACCTGAGGAACCTGAATACACAGAAGTCCATGGGACCTGATGAGATGCATCCCAGAGTCCTGAGGGAATTGGCCGATGTAGTCGCCATTGGGGGTGCTGGTGGATAAAAAGCTGGACATGAGCCGGCAATGTGCCCTGGCAGCCCAGAAGGCCAACCGTACTCTGGGCTGCATCAGGAGGAGCGTGGCCAGCAGGTCGAGGGAGGTAATTCTGCCCCTCTACTCAGCTCTGGTGAGACCTCACCTAGAGTACTGCGTCCAGCTCTGGAGCCCTCAGCACAAGAAGGACATGGAAGTGTTGGAGCGGGTCCAGAAGAGGGCTACTAAAATGATCCGAGGGCTGGAGCACCTCTCCTATGAGGACAGGCTGAGAGAGTTGGGCTTGTTCAGTCTAGAGAAAAGAAGGCTGCGGGGAGACCTGATTGCGGCCTTTCAGTACCTAAAGGGGGCCTATAGGAAAGAGGGGGAAAACCTTTTTAGTAGGGCCAGCTGCGTTAGGACAAGGGGTAATGGTTTTAAACTAAATCGGGGTAGGTTTAGGCTAGATATAAGGAAAAAATTCTTTACAATGAGGGTGGTAAACCACTGGAACAGGTTGCCCAGAGAGGTAGTGGAGGCCCCATCCCTGGAAACATTGAAGGCCAGGTTGGATGGGGCTCTGAGCAACCTGATCTAGTTGGCGGTGTCCCTGCTGACTGCAGGGGGGTTGGACTCGATGACCTCTAGTGGTCCCTTCCAACCCAAAACATTCTATGATTCTATGATTCTATGAAATAGGAAGGTAATTGCTTAGAAGAATTCTGGACAATTTCATAGCCCTCTGAAAAGAGGGCTTGCTCTCAAAAAATGTGAGATGATGCACCCATGCCAACTTATTCATTTGTAGTAATGGGCGGAGAAGGTCGCTTCCTCTTGCATAGTGGGCTTCTTTATTTCTTGGAGTTTTTTTAAAAAATTAGAATCTTCCTGTTTATGAACTTTATAGTTTGATCCTCAAAGTCTTCCACAACTAACTCTGATAACCAAGTTAGTAGTACTAGTTCCTTTGAAGAGACCTTTGTTTCCCACGATACCAGAATGTGATACAAAAAGTACAGGAAGTTTTCTGTGATGTTCTGGAAGAACCAAGTATGTTGATGAAACAGTTTGTTAGTGTGATGTAATGTAGCTTTTCAAAAAGTGTCCACCTTACTGTGCCATCCTTTCAAGAGTGAAACCTGACGTGCCTGTCTCTGTTCAAGCGTGCATTTAACATGCTGCCGAAAATAAAGGATGTTTCAGAATAAGCTATGCCAAACTTAAACAGTTGCTTATTTTATTTTGTAAAATGTGTTGGAAGACAGGTGGTAATACTGATTCATCTGGTACTTTGTTTCGTGAACTGAGGCAGATATTTTGTGTTAGAGCTTATGCTTCTGCCTGTGGACCTAAGATAGCACTGTATGGGTTGCATTAAGATTTTGTTGTTGTTGCTATTGTTTGACTGTGGAAACAGAAGCCTTTGAAATCAGTAACACAACCACACTCAATCCTGGATACTTTGTTTCTTTGCTTTAAACTAACTATACTCTTGTGTTGGGTAGGGGTAGTAATTAAGATGACAAGTGTGAAACTAGAATGATGGAAGTTCAGATGCTTCACTGTGCTCCTGAAAAAGGCCCGAATAGGGTACTGTTGGTTCACCTGTGCTTATCTCTCTTTCTTTCTAGAATATGGTATCAAGTTTTCGTGTTTCTGAACTACAAGTGTTGTTGGGGTTTGCTGGACGTAATAAAAGTGGACGGAAACATGACCTCCTGATGAGGGCACTGCACTTACTGAAGAGCGGCTGCAGCCCAGCAGTTCAGATAAAAATCAGAGAACTCTATAGGCGTCGGTACCCAAGGACGATTGAAGGACTTTCAGACTTATCGGCTATAAAACCCGCAGTTTTCAATTTGGACAGTAGTTCCTCTCCTGTCGAGCCTGACCTGGCTGTTGCTGGCATTCACCCACTCCCTTCTACTTCGGTCACGCCTCAGTCTCCTTCCTCACCTGTCAGTTCTGTGCTCCTCCAAGACACTAAGCCCCATTTTGAGATGCAGCAGCCATCCCCTCCGATTCCACCCGTTCATCCCGATGTTCAACTGAAAAGCCTACCTTTTTACGATGTGCTTGATGTGCTCATAAAACCTACAAGTCTAGGTAAGTGTTTAATAGCCCTGCAGGTTGCTTAATTTGTGAAATAGGTGTTGCTTGTTACAGTACTAAGTCCAGACTTAAATGGCTGTTTGCAGCTGGGGAAAATTGGAAACTCCCTTCCCTTCTCATTTCTACCCTTGCCCTCTCCACCGCTTGTCCCCAAAAGTGCCAAGCCACGCTTCAGAAAATAGTGTTGTCTTCTGTAAATGTTGTATGATTAAAGATCTTTGTCTTTTGAATATTAGAGTAGAACAGTTCACTTGGAAAGTACCTACGGAGATCATCTAACCACCTGACCACTTCGGAGCTGACCAAAAGTTAAAGAGTAATAGTTAAGGGCATTGTTCAAACTGACAGGCTTGGGACATTGACCACGTCTCTAGGAAGCCTGTTCTGGTGTCTGACCACCCCCTCAGTAAAGAAATGTTTCCTAATACCTAGTCTGAACCTCCACTTCTGGCTGAAAGATTTGGACCTGAAGAAAACAGGAATTGGGGCCAGTAATTAGTAAGTTCCAATAACATGAGGAGAACAAGTGCACTGGTTTGTTAGCTTGCCTTTATCTCACTGCAACAATTCTGTAGGTTGCATCTGTATGTGGATACTTTGTGCAACAAATGTTCAGGGTTATACTGATTTAGCGATGGTTTTCTCAGCCTACTGGTTGTTGCCATGCTTGACTTTAAAATGTAGAATGCATCTTTGTCTTCCAAATAGCTGGAAATCTCAGTTTAGTGTCTTCCTCAAATGCCTTGCTCTTAAACGTATTTATTTGCTAAAACGTTTTCTGTCTTGAAAGTTTGCCCTGTCTCACATTACATGGTAAAAAATGTTCCGTAACTATTTAATAATATTGTTTAGAAACAATTCAGCCTTTTGCAAGCTGTTTGCATCCTCTTAAAGATTTTAGTTTCTTAACTGATAATAGAGTCTTTGAGGCTGGGACTTGTACCTCAGTGAGGCATATGCAGTTGATTGACCATCCTTCAGTACCTAAAGCAGCAAACATTACTTGCAAGCATTAGTTACAGTGCCTGTCGTCACTTCTGTTGGTGTGTGGTGACACCCTGTTAGAGAAGAGTTTAATATCGAACCCGTGTATTGGTAGAATTGCTGCTGTGGTGCTGGACACCTCTACGGCTCAGGCTGCCATTACCTTTACAGAGATAATCTGTCAGTGCCACTATGTCCTGGCTAAACCCCTGCTTATGTTCACTGTGTGCAGTAGCTGAGTATCTTGATTAGCTTCCCGAAAGATTCTGTATTACGGGACAGCTGTTGGCCCATAGTTAACCAGAATGGTTGCCTACCACATAGTCGCTCAGTCCCATATAATGCAGCATGTGCTCCACGTTATATTTCTGCTATGCAGTTACTTTTTGTTTTATGGTCAGTGATATCTAGAGGTGGCAGTGGTATGCTAGAAATTTCCGTAACAGCTGTTTTCCTCAACTTTGCAATTGATCCTTTTTTCCCAAAAGGAGAATGCTTCCACAGGGGTGTCACCATGTTATAGTTAGAGCTGCATGTGAATTCCTCTCTCTGTTGAAGACTGTAGGCTCTTTGTTGCATATTGCCCAGTTTTCATAGGAGTGAGGATTATTTTACCAGTCTGATAGCCTTCTATGATGGCATGACCAGCTGAGTAGATGAGGGGAGAGCAGAAGATGTTGTCTATGTTAACTTCAGCAAGGCTTTTGACACTGTCTCCTATAAAAGATGTTTACGTTAACTTCAGCAAGGCTTTTGACACTGTTTTGACACATAGGGAAGCTCAGGAGGTGTGGGTTGGATGAGTGGACAGTGAGATGGATTTGGAACTGGCTGAATGGCAAGGCTAAGGGGGTTTTGATCGGGGGGGCCG